CAACATTCAAAGAGCTATACATTCATCTTTAATAAAATATATCAAATCAAACATCATTTTTTTGTATAAAACTACATATTCCACAATGGGGTTTTTTTGTACTATCCTATTTCACATTCAAGGTACACACAAAGTACAGATAACCTCCCATATAACTCAATGTGTAGGAGCCACTGTGCATACTGTGGAGAGGTTTAAAGCTATTTTATCAGTTAAAATCAGTGCATTTATATACGTAATTTAGGATCTGAATAATAGTGTCCGTTATTAAAGTCACCGCCTTAAGGCTGCTATGCCTGTTACCGTCACAATTTTTTTTTATTAACCACGTTCGTACGTGTATGCATGTAATAACAAATATCACAATTATTTCAGGATTTCGCCCCGCGCGTGAGATATCGTGCCGTTCAAATTAGCGATATACCGCAGTACTCCATTGACTATTTCAGGTTAAGTGCTAACACAAACCCCACACTCCCATGTTACAGCACAAATAGATGCGGGGAAAATGTTGCATGCGCATTTTGATCGAAAAATGTCAGCATGTACTGTATATATATATTTTTTTTCATCATATACCACACGGGTCGGTCAATTCACAAGTTTCCCACCGATCTCTAATGTTCCGCTTACGTTCTTCTCACCAGGCGACCGAATGCCGCGATAGCAAGGGGGCTTCCTCCCCGTATCTTACGCAGGACAGTGTTCAAACATTTATACGCGTATTGAGATTGCTGGGAGAAGTGCCGTGGGCTTTGAGATAAAATGCATTTTCCCACCCCCACCGTCACCCTTAAAAATTTCTCTCCAACATTTTAGCTCGGTGTCAAATAAATGGATCGCCTTGTACATGCAACATTCGAACATGTTCGTCATGATCACTCCAATAATGTACGAGTAGCAAACCGCGGCCCAATTCATGTTCTGGTGAGAAGCCAACAAAAACAATTTGGGTGGACATATGTTCAAATTTGGCACACAACAATCTATCTGACCAACACTTGCTGCTTTAAAACTGCTTTGATCTGTTAAGTTCCTTATTCCTCCCACCCACCCAGCCGCCGCAACTACGATTGGCACGGTTGGCTACGTACCGTGCGAAAGAAGTTTAACATACACACAACCTACATACATGAATCGGGGCTGTTGGTAAGAAGGCATAGCAGCTTCACACGTTGGTGGCTAATGCCGACGGGAATGGCCGAGTGACATCGTGGACGGGAAACGTTTACCGACGAAAACTGTGGCTTGGTCACACTTTGAAAGGTGTCAAGAATTGTGGCGTCGCAGCAGCGGTGAAAGAAAGCGTCTCGCGAAACACCGAATTGACGCATTACAAACAAAAACAAGCAGGCGAACGAGCGAGCGAAGAACAGCGTCACGGTCACCACTCAACAAATGCACAAACGAGACGCAACCATTTCACAGCGCTGCCGTTTAAACTGCGCGGGCGAAAAGGGCTCCCCACAAGTAACGCAGTTTGTGTTTTCCTCCCCCGTTTACAGGGGACTTTTATTACAAAACGGTGACGACGATTCACTCGTCGTCTCGAATGCGGTCCTGATGGTGGTGGTGGTGGGGCACCTGCGTTGGAATATTTTCAAGCACCCGGTTCTCATCAAGCACAGCAAACCTTTTTTTTGTTGCTGCAGGTCGAATGCGTCGCCGTATTTTAAAACGAGGCGTTGCCTGGAGTCGGTCATTTTCAATACGAATGGGTAAGAGAACGTTTTGACTTTCGACAGTAAGTGTGCTTTTCACCCCCCCCGCCTCCCCATCCTGAGCTGCGCTCTTACATGTCATTGTCAACCCATAGTAATGGCTTATTAGATACATTCGACGCAATCCCAAGAGAGCTCTCCCTCGCCTCAACCTCCGTAAGCTCGCGTGCCCCCAACAATCATTGCCCCACCCACGTGCCCGCATTCGCCTACATTCATGGAGAGTTACGGCAACTTGTTTTTTTTTTGACGGCACATTTTGTTGCATGGTCGTAGATGTCAACAGTTTTACCCGATAACATTACACTTGCCCTATGGCTACACAATCCAAGAAAGTAAGAGATTTGTATTTTTATAAATATGTAAAAAAAGGGGGTGTGGGTGAAAATGTCTCAGTAGTAGGCAAGGTTCCATCTGATGATTAGGTGTCCCTGATTATAAAGATTTGGCTCTGCAGGAATTTTAAGCAAATGTATATATTTTTTTTAAAATGCTATTCAGACTGCTATACATGATTCGACTACGGTGGATGTCGTGAGTGTATAACTGTATAGGCAACGACTGTGTAAGCGTGGCATGTGACTGAGCCTCGACGATGATGAGGTGGGTAAAGCTGGGCCGGTTTATGCTATTTTGAAAAGACAAGAAGATGTGTAACAGCTGCGGGTATAGATTTATTAGAAACAGAGCGGTCTTCAGATAGTGCAGATGAATGCACATTCTATCAGCCCTGAGAGAGTGTTGTGAGACTCGTAAAAAGGGGGTACTTATTTCATTGACTCAAGAAGGACGATGGGTTGATTTAACTCCTGACCAAGAGTTTCACTTGCGACTGTGAATCGGCACTTTGCGAGAATGCCACGCAGTTAGGCGAGAACTTACTGAAACGTAACAAAGACATCGCGAATATGGTGAAGCAAGTGGTTGGTTAGCTTGCAGGCAATGCAACGGAGTGAGAAAATTGGGGATACCTAAATCAGCATTGTCTACAAAGCACGTATGGGGGGGGGAAGCGCATGCAATATTTGATCTCGATTTGAAGCTTTCGTGACTGCAGGAATCCACTCTTTCGGTCAAGTCACCTGGGTATAAAATATACCCACGTGACTTTACCGAAAGAACCAAAGAGTATGCAATATTTGAATTACGAAGATTTGTCAATTTTACCTTTTGTTGAGCGTTAACAAAACCCTTGACTTTTCATTAACGACTGATAAATGAAATAATTAGCTGGAGTACACCCAAGAATCAGTCACGTTTCACTTAGGTTGCTGTTACGCGTGTTATTCTTTATCGCTCAGTTTCCATGACCACTGACGACAGCAACGGCTCAGTTGCGTTTCGGGACCAGCAGCACGGGGCCCCCCGGGGTCAACGATCCCACACTTCGTGAACCCCGACGCTTCCTGGAGCAACTCCCCCCCCTCGCCTCCTCCTCCAGGGTCAGGGGTGGAGGGTCAGCAAGCCATCTTTAAAAAGTGTTTTTCAACAAGCTTTGGTTTCTAATTTTCCGCCATGTTAGTTTGAACACTAATGCAGCCCTGAAGCAATGGTGGAGCCAGGATTTTCAGGTAGGGAGGGGCAACCCCTCCAGCAATTAAAAATGATAAGAGGACTTGTTAGTAAGTAAGGACTTGTTAGTAAGGACTTGTTAGTAAGGACTTGTTAGTGAATAAGGACTTGTTAGTGAGTAAGGACTTGTTAGTGAGTAAGGTCTTGTTAGTAAGGACTTGTTAGTGAGTAAGGACTTGTTAGTGAGTAAGGGCTTGTCCCTTGCTTTTTATTCGTGTGTGGCGATGGCAGTCATCGATCGAGGGTCGAATTTGAACCGCGTTGTGTGATCGGCATCGCGCTCGCTGAAGGTGTCGATACCTTCAGGGAAGTCGTGGACTGTATACGCAACTGCGCACAATTCTGTGAGTCACTTATAACTGCTTTTCCGTTACTTATTGCCCCAATTATGGACTCAGACTATTGTCCTATCATCTCATAGAGTCCCTGGCACGTAATAATATGCTACACAGTGGCAGTGGGGGTCGCAAAATGCCGATTTATTACTAATAAACCACAATGATCCGATCGAAATAAGGGATTTCGATCGGATCGAAATAAGGGATTTTGATCGGATCATTGGGGGGCACGTGCTACCCCCCCCCCCCCACTGTATTAATTTTGTTATTTTTGTTATTTTGCTGTGCCTTTTTTACACCTGATGAAGGAAGCTTGTGTTGCCAACGAAACGTCGTGATTTTTTTTTACCTACGTGACTTTACCTAAAGAACCAAAGAGTAATAAGCCACTGGTTATGTTCAGGATTGTTCTTTTCATAACACAGAACAAAAACACGTCACATTCTATGCCGGTAAAGCATAAAACGCATCGGTGGAGTTTTTTTATATGTATTTCCTAATTTAAAAAGTATATGTCAGATTTACATTGCCATGTCATGATAAGTATCAGTTTATTCCTTGGAGGAAAAAAAAATCGAAGAGGTAAAAATAACTGAAGAAAAAAAACTAATCTCAATAAAAAAACCCAGGTTGAAAAATATTTACACGCCTCAGAAGTTTCCGAAGCATGCTGGACAGACAAACCACGCAACATCAGAGTATTTATCAGAACATACATTATAGATTGTCACATTAGGGGGGAGGGGGGCGCTGAATGATACTAACGCTGTTACTGAGTGCATCTGAACACCGGTTAATCTGAATGAAAATTAATCCTTTGTAACGAACTCATCAACCAAAGTCGGGTGTGGATTTTGGAACAATCAAAATCACAAAACATTCTGGATAGCGACGTAAAGACAAGCCACAAAGCATCATAATGTGTCGCGTTAAACTTGATGCGAGTGTGTGAACTACATTCAGTTGCCCCATGCAGCTCACCGTTAGAAAGCACTTTTTTTTTTAGATAATATATTGTGTGCCACATTGCTGTCCGAAACACATGGCAGTGTGTTACACAAGGTGGTTCAACCACCATATCGTGCCATTATAACCCAGTGAAAATATTAAATACCAATAAATAACAGGGTAAACCATAGGCACAGTTCGAACACAACCAAGACCTTTGCTGGCTGCTCCACAAATATCCTATTTTGGTGTGTTCCAATTATAGATGCGCACAGCTTTGCACGTGTTTAAACTACTTGTTGCATCAGAATGGATACAATCTCACAATCGGTCTGGACATTGCTAAAGGTCACGTGCTGTATATGCTATATTTAAACATCCTTCGAGAAGCCACATTCACAAATTGAGACATGGACGCCTGCACATGCTCGTTTACGTTTAAACATTTAAGTGTAACACATTTACAGTGCGTTATTCCTTCCGCAGGAAGATCATTCATGGCATGTTCAAATGTAAACGCTTAAATCGGCGAGATCAATAACAGGTGAACGTCCTTCGTGACTTCTCTGCAAGGTTTGAGGTTTGGAAAGTTATTTTACAGGAATTACGCTTTTTTTGTACCGTATATCAATTTGACGATTACGTTCAATACACAGCTATTAACTCCTATGCAGTCTTACCACTCCGCTTACAACTGCCTCGTGTGACACATTGCATTCAGTCGCGTCAAGGAACGCTACACTCTGGTTCATGTTTCACTTAAACTGTACTCTGAAATTCCCTGTAGAATGCTTTCACTGAAAATTCTACACGCATCATTTGTGGCAATTGTAAAGACGTACGCAAGAGCTCCGACTCGGCTGAGTCACATTAGGCCTCTAGTCTTGACTATATCAATGCTTAAGGACCCTGCTTTGACTTTTCCACATAATAGCTCAGTCAGGCAATGTATGAATACTAAATCAATTATCATCAAGAGATGAATGCAGCTGTCGGCTAAGCCACGTGGGCTCTGCACATCTGTGCAGAAGAGCGCTCGAGCAAACGGTCGGGGGGGGTGGGGGGGGTTTGTCCGGCACCTCTTGACTTGCGATAAAAGACTGTGTCGCAAAGCGTGCGTGCGTCCGTACGTGATATAAATAGGACAGATTTGAATAATTATCAGCTGATGAATTAATGATAAACAATCCAACGCCTCCCTGGCCTAAAGCGGTGAGTGACGGAGCAGCCTTGTACGGCGAGTCAACCAAACTTTAAGGCATACAACAACGTTTTATTGTTGTTGTTGTTGTTATCAAGTCAAGCACAATGCCGGAGAATGCAGATGTCCCGGTAGAGAACTGCGTTGCCAATTACCAGCAGGGACGACGTGTCAGAAGACAAGCTGAACCTGCATTAACACAATGGCAAGGACGCATTGGTTGCAGACACAAGACCTGTGCCCAAATGCCGTAGGAATATGTGCCGATTGTTGCAAAGTGTATTTGACGAGCGATATATATAAAAAAAAGAGCTGCTGTGGGGTTAGTCGGCAATGCGCGTCACGACTATGGTCACGGGGACCTCACGCTGTACCTCACGCTGTACGCGTCCCCCCCCCCCCCACCACCGCCTCGCTGTGAAAAATGAACGGGCTCACGCGCTCGCTCTAAGACTCGTGTACGCGATCACCACGGCAGTGTCGCTGTAGCGAGTATAAACATTGCATATCACGACTTTGTGAGCAGCAAACAGTATTGACGGCATATTTTTTGTTGACTAAAAACCAATTTACGTGCTATTAAGAGACAAACGATGGGATGACACCCCTTCCCCCCCCCCTATTCATTGCCAATCAGAGTGCATTAGCACCGAATAAAAAATATACGTCCGGAGCACAGCCTTGCGAGTACGGGCGGCAAGCGACCGCTTGCAACACTGCCAACGATCTGCAGCACCCCCTGCACGCTGGACCTACCAGAATGTTCACTTGTACGCTCAACGTGTTCACTTTCAATGTCGAGGACTCAAAATGAAACGCCAACGCCGCTGCTTGAGGACAAGCCTGGACTGCGTGGAACAGTTGACGCAGGATGGAGACGTCAAGCCTGCTGCTGCATGCAGATATGTATTTCAAATGGTTGCACTTATTAGGCCTTCAGTTGCTTCTAAACGCGTGAAGTTTGAGGTAGAACACTGCTTTATTGAATGCTTTTGAAAATTGCAAGACAACGGACGGGGCACTATTTTAAATTTGATCGGAAATATACATGCGCGGCGAGAGGATTCACGCCGAGTCCTTTTGGCAAAAAAATGGGAAACGTGAAATTCTTACACAAGACGTGTTCGCTACAAACACATGCCACTCACTATGCCATGATAATGCCATGATTCTCGTGACAACATTGTGATGATTTATTTCTTTATTCTCTTAGCACTTTCGTAAATGTTTAATTCTTCAAATATTTAACCAATGTTCCTTTTTTTTTTAGAATGTCATAGTTTAATATTTTATTTACATGTCACTTTTACAGGCAACAAATCATGATTTATAATTTAAATTATTATATTACAATATGAATAAAAGTCACAATCTACAGTACAGTCGTTCATGAAGTAAACTTTCAGCAATTTGCCAGACCAAAAGTTAATAACGAAATGCGTCGATAATTGTTTATACAGAGGAACCTCACGAAGCCAGACTTGTTTAAGCCAAAATTAAAGGGTTAGCCGGAAAAGGCTACCTAAATAAAAACAAGAAAATGTGACAAATAAATAAAAAAAACACAATCCAACCGGAACAAACGTTCACACCGCGTGCGGTTATGATGTGGCGTAAATCTCGATGCCATATTTTGTGTCGGAAAATTCTAAACGCACGAATTACTTCTGAACATTGCAACAGGTTCACTGAAATCATATAAAACTGGCTTTAACAATAAAAGTTTATTCAAGCCTGGGAGAATCATTTTGTTTATTGGGTTAAAGAATCATCCATTCTTCCGTCTCCGCTGCACGTAATGGAATGTTAATAATTGTGTTTAAAGTATTTGGCCAGCTATACATTTCCACGTGTTAAGCCACGTGGTTGAGCTGTCATTTATGGCCAGGTCACTTGTGAAAAAGAGCTATGTAAGCTAAGTGGGCCTTTACCTGTTAAAATAAAAAGGAGTTTAGTTTTAGTTCAGTGTGTTATTTAAATTGTAGTTTGCTGGGTATCCCCCATAACTGGGCTTATCCCCCCCAAATAGTCTGGCTTCCAGAGGTTTTACTCTAAGTACAATGGCTTTCATGTACCACTGTTTTCATGTTTTATTGTTTAAAATTGTATACTGTTAAAAACATTTTATGAATCGATATTTCGGGTAAATGCCTCATAAAATAGTGACATTCAGAATCATGAACCTATTTCCAAATTAACTCAATGTACGAAAGAGCCATCATCAATAATGCAGATTATTACTATTCTCATATTGTAGACGTCACGATAGCGATTCGATTTAAATACAGGCATCAAAAATAGATTTTGGAATAATGAACATGATCGTAAAAGCTATGAAAAACTATGCATAGAGGTCAAATTCACTACGGTATATGATGAAGTCACAAAGTAGGCCGATTAAAAACAGCAAGCATTGGTATAAACAGCAAAATAATAATAGCTACATTTTAATTCTAATTATGTTTTACTTGAAGCAGACAAAAGCCTATACTTTTATCTCATTAACCACAATCGCAAACAGTTTTATATCTACTGCTTAACCACCTCTAACAGCACTGATTCCAATCACAAACGCTGCAAATCAAAACCCACTCAACATTTGGCCATGACTCAAACATATTTGCATGTTATATGCCACACATATAGGATTGTTATTGTATGCCACGAAAAGAGACTATGTATAAATGTGGTATATAAAATGTTCTCCAACCATAACTTTAAAAACATAAATTAAATGCTTTAACCTTAGATAATAAAGTCAGCTTTTAAACATCATACACAAAAAAAATAACAGCCTCATCCAGAAGACCGTGACATCTTTGTAAGAATAAAGTGTTAGAACTGTCCATGTACATGAATGATGACAACTTTAAATTACAAAACTGTAGTGTACCTGGCTGCCTTAACCTCATTAGCCCAGTGACATGCCTCGCAGGGCAAAGGTCAGCATACGGCTAGGGATAGGCTCAAGGGTCAAGAGGAGGACGGCAGCTTGTGCGCGCAAGTTCTCTCGACTCCCGTCAGTCCTGGAAGATCTCCAGGAAGAGCGGAGGGAAAAGCACGGAGGGGCACGTGACCTTCATGTGCAAGATGCGGCTGGAGTGACACGCCCCAATGAGCCGGAGGTCTGTCACCTTCATGAGCAGCTTGGGCCAGAAGTGGTTCAGGCGGTGCTCTCGGTGGTTGATGTAGTGCTCCAGAGCCAGCAGGTAGGTGTCCTGCAGCTTCTCCACCTTGTCCACATTTACCAGCCCAGGCCGATCTTCGGTTACCCAAAACAAACAAGAGCCCAGCAAAACGAAACGCGGTGTCAAGAACTTTCTTTTTTAAGTTGCCGAAAAACCACAATGAGAAGTCAGGTGACCGTTGGTTAGAAAACACCTCGCGGTGTGTCAGAGACGTAAAACAACGGGTGCCGATTAATGCTGCCGGTGAATTAAACACAGGCGATTCAACGCCGGCAGCTGCACGCACAGTGGGCGTTAAAGATCCCGGGACATTTGTTTTGCAAGAGCAGGCGACTGTGTGCCAGCGTCACTGTCCAAATTGACCAAATAAACATTAGCAGCAAAATACTTAACTGCGATTAAATCCCACCCCCCCCCCCCCCCCCCCGGACTGGCAGAGCACAGAGCTTGGAGATTTGTTGGCTTATCTGCCCTTACGAGGCTCGATGCACCGCCCCCCCCCCACCGGCAGGTCAACTTTTTTTTGTTTTTGTGTTCCAACTTTAATTTGTTGATGCAACTTTGCCGACCCACCCCTGTTGGACATCTGTGAAAAAAGAGCTTCTTCATGACTCCATCGGATTCCTCGTCTTTAAATAAAGATTCTGATTATTATATTGCTGTGCTCGTGGTGTGATATAGAATAATACGACTCGTGTAAAAAAGTCCAGGAGTCAAAGTATCGCTCGAACTCCACGAGCAAGTGGCGGCGTCAGTCTCTCCAAAGGATGACCACTTTAACTTCCTAACTTGTGGAACTAAGTTCGTCCGCCTCAAAGAGATTACAGGCCAGGACCACATCTAACGAGGATTTTACTCCCAACCTCCCAACTGTGGGCAAGTTGGGACATGGAATGGGTGGTAATATAAACGTGTGCTCTACTTGTGGTGCGCGTGCGTATAGCGATACGATGTGGCTATAGCAATTGTAGTCGCAACCCTATAGACCATGGTATTTGTGTTATGCTGTAAATTAAAACTATTCACAATTCGCTCATTAGACGTAAAAAAAATTACCAGCCACTCAACTGACACGAATGATCTGATATGCAATATTCACCAGACTCACCACTCAAAAGATTCACCTGACACTCACCACACTCACCTGTTACTTATGAGACACTAACCACTCACTTGACACTCACCACTCAACCAGGGACCACCCACCTGACACAGACATAGACATGGCCAAAAAGGCATGTCTCCTAAAATCAGTGAATTTGGGTCACTTAGCAGAAATGTCTGTACTTTGTGAATTTTCCACACATTAATCGCAGACTTCAGGAGTTTTTACACCGGTGGTACTATACTATTAATAAAATATTTTCTTTACCAGGTAAAACCCACTGACCTATATTGCTCCTTTTCAGAAGTGACCTGGCCACAACAAATGATAGCTCAACAAAGTGGCTTATGATGCACAAATGCATAGGAGCCAAATAATCTAAGTGCAAGTTTCTAAATGTGGAGGGAAAAACTGGAGGACCCGGAGAAAAATCCATGCGACCATGGAGAGACCATGCAAACTCCAAATATACAACAGGCATCGTCAGGGTTGGAATCAAACCCACGACCTCCTGCATACCAGGCGAGGTAGTTAACATCTCGCCACCACGGCCCATGTCACCGCAGACTCGAGGAGTTTCCCTGCACACCCCATTGGGGTGTTACTCCTCTACGCAGGACATAAATAATAAATAAAGACAAAGATCCCCCAATATAGCCTTAACAAACTGTTGGGGCAAGTGCTGCTATTGAGCACCGATGAAGACCAGCACGGCACACTGGGCGGTGGGTTGCCAGCACCACGCACGGCCGCCTTTGTCTCCCCAGTTGCTGTTTACACACCGCACCAGATACTCATTTGAGGCTGAGTCGGCCTAGGGGAGGCCCGGGTTCGTAGCGTAGTGTGCAAACCGCTACTCCGCCGCTCCCCATTGGCATGGGCAGACTCTCGCCAGCAGGTGGCGCAACCACTCATTTGGGTTGGCATGCGGTCAGCTTTGTTGAACTTCCTATGCAGCAAAGCAGTGAATAAATACCAACAATAAAATAACAATAAAAAAGACACAAAAAACTTACTACGCTGTACACAGTGGGATACGGCGTAGAGCTCTATGCCAATCATGTGTAAGGAAATTCTAGACGTGCTGATCTATATTTGGGTGTGTAAGACGCGAAATCCTCGACCATTGTCATAAATAAAACAGACGTCCGTTTCAGCACTTGCACATCTAAAGCCACTCATCTTCACACGTACGTTTTCGCAGTCAATGTTCGAATTCACAATTGAGTTTTTGGTTTGGCTGCGGAATGATCCGGGCCAAATAACTGCAGCAAGATCCTCCGACCACCCGACGCGGCCAAACAAACCGAAATGCCACATGGCTGACAAGCTTTTAACGCACCAACAACTGTTATCATTGCAGCCTCGCTCACTGGCAAAGTGAAGAATAATTATCACACTAAAAGTTTAGCAATTAGATACACGACGCTTCGCTTGAGGGCACGTCAAGCATCTCCAAGAAAATTAAGTCAGAATAACCGAGTCACCTGACCCAGCTTCTTAATCATGTATAATAATTGGTCCAGTTAAATTGAATATATTTAGAGTTAATACATTGACAAATGAGTAATATATAGTTTGAATCTCATTGCTTGTTCCTGCTAGGAATCTTAGTGAGTTTACATGGAACACCTGGGGTATGTCCCATGACCTCCTGCAAACGAGTCCTCTGAAATTTCACACGGGCGCAAGGCACACTGAGCCCTGCACAAGCACTTTGGTGACGCCACCAACCACTCAGTCGTCAATGGGGGCTGCTGTTGTTAATTTTGCTGTGCGTTGGTGAAATGTCACACTGTGTGTTTTGGAGAGTCTATAAAAATGATTAAACTATTTTTTTACTTTACCAGGTGAGGCCCACAGCTATATTCGCTCTTTTTCAGAAGCAACCTGGCCACAAATGATAGCTCAAGGAAATTGCTTACCACGTGAAAATCTATGGGATCGAACCCACACAACCTCCTGTACACCAGGCGAGGTAGTTAACATCTCCTAGCCACCACGGCGCCACCACCCGCAGCATGACTCTGTCACGCTCTCACTTACCCGTAGACATCAGCAGCACCGCCTGCAGTAGCGCCACCTCCGTGTCATCCAAGCTGAAGGCCGCCAACGAGCGGCCCAGGTCGAATATGGCGTCCGATACGAGGCCCAGGCCGCCATTCTTCAGCTGCTCTTTCTTGACCGCGACCTCGCCGTTGAGCGTGAGCGTGTCGCTCTCGGGGTCGTAGCGCACGGCGGCGCGCAGAGACATGATTTCCATGCAGCATCCCTTGAGCAGCACTATCTGGTCCTCGCACGGCAGCTGCGGGGGAAGGGCGTGCACGTTATCACATTGGGCCCTGCTCATTCATAATAAAACCTCGTCGGCAAAATCTGCACTATACTTGGCGAACTCGTTATCTCCATTGCCAAACCCAACAAAAGCCCAAGGCGTCCATCCAATTTCCTTTTTAAACGTCCCTAGAACAAGAATTGGAATGGGTGACGACGCCTTTGCCATTGTGCCACACACCAACGTTTTGAAACAACCCTGTTTCCTCCCCCCCCGACATCGCAAATCATCCTTAAAAACATATCCTGAAGCAGACGATTAGTGCTGGATACATCCACGTAAGCCAATGTGATTTGTAAACTTTGATCCTTACCTGTATAGTTCAATGTTCATGTGCCATTTTATTGAGGGACTACTGCTGTGTGGTGTTATCTTGGTGTGGTCTGGGACTGTGTTTTTGTTGTTGTTGTTTTTGCCGCCTTGTCCAATGTTGATAAATCGTACTTGTATATTGGGATAATTATTGATTTACCATTTTATATATTTGCACTATCGTTTTTTGTATTGTTCGCCGTTGTAACTTGCTGACCCATCCATACTGGACATCTCTAAAAAAAGAAAGAGCTTCATAGCTCATCGGATTCCTCCGGCAGTCTAAATAAAGATTCTGATTGGTCCATAATAGGATTCGTCGACACTAGGCTCTGTGTTAACGAGCAGCCTGCTGTTGGCCAATCACTAAACTGGTATTTCAGCCAACAACAGATGACGTCACCCACGCAAGTAATGTGCATTTCAAATTAATGCTCATAGTAGAACTCCAAAAATCGGTGGCGATGTTGGGCACGAGTGTAGCGAACCATGTAACATGTGGCACACTGTGATATTACTCCAAGAATACACGCGGCTGCGCGACTCTCAAGGATCCGTGAAAATGTGCAGGTTAAAGGAGAAACGAGAGCATGTGACGAACCACTCTCTTATTAACCTGCAGAACATTTACGCATTGTAGGAGTTGCCATGTCGGAAATCTACCATATGGCTCTGCAGTTCAGTATTTTATCATTTTTAAAAACTAATTATCCAAGCTTTTTTTATCCTCAACCGCATATCTGTCAATCTGCTTCTTGGTTGTCTCTGCATCTCCAATTGTCTCTCTACATTCGTCTCTCCGTCTCCCCATCTCCATTTCTCTCTCCATTTCCATTTGTCTCCCTGCATTAACCATCTCTGCCTGAATCTCCGTTACTCGCTGTATCTCTGTCTCTCTGCATCTCAATCTCTCTCTCTATTTGTATCTCCATCTCTCTATCTCGGAGAAACAGAGACGGCTTTGAAGCATTTCTGTGATGCAAACATAAATCTTTTCAAGAAGCCAGCAACACTTTATACACCGCTGCAGTAAAAAAAAAATCTCAATTTCCAGTGTCTCGTCAATTATAGGACGAATTATCCACTAGATTGGGGAAACTTTCGTGGATTATAGAACATTCTAGCCACGTAAAATCCTTTAAAACGTCCAACGTTTCAGATTTCCGCCCCCCTCCCCACGTCGTAGTTTCTGCGAACCGAATGGGCACTGAGAATTAGGATTTGCAAATTGTTAAAGGTCCGATAATTTTCCGTTATTCTGTGGGCCTATCTCTAAACCCATCTCACCCGTATGCCTTGCCAGGCTTGCCCTGGGCACATAAACTAGGCCACAAAGGTGTCAGCGCTCATGGGGAAGCCCACAGAAGGAAAAAGAAAACGATAAAAGATTGTTCTAAGTGTGTTTTGGGTGTACATTATAAGAATCAGAAGTTTATTATCCGAGTAAATTACCCATTGAGCTATACAGCTCTTTTCCAAGGGTGACTCGGTCAGCAGACAGACAGGGCAGCAAGAGTTAATAAACAAGGTATAAAATAAGAAAAATATAAGTAAATAAAACCAAACGATCTTACAACACAATTACATACATTTGCGTTGTGTTCCACCTCTATCGTGTCTGTTTAAAAGAGTAAAGTAGTGTGCATGTTCTGTGTCCGTGTGCATCGTTTGTGTGTGTGGTCTGTGTGTAGTCAGTGTCTGTATGTTGGCGTGCATTCATTTATGCACGTCTATGTTCAGACTGTGTGCAATCTGTGTATGTGTATCTGTGTGTGGTCTGTGTGTATTTAATTGTACGTATGGGCCTGTTTTGTCTGTACGTCTTTGCCTTTGTGTATATATGCATATATAATATAATAAGAAACACCACAGCAATGTAATAAATAACAACGCTGTAAGAAGTTGCAGTCCTCCGGACCATCAGCTGACCTCGGTAAACATGGGCAGCTTCTTGGCAAAGTCAACAACCCGGGTGATGGACGGAGTGATGATGGCTGTGAAGTGGGTAAAGGCCTGGAGGTCCACCTTATCATCCCCATCCAGGCTGGACAGCACGGACTCCTGGCCAATATCCTCAGACTGACGGTGCACGTACACAGACGACAACAACCAACACGCGTATCAGTAGACCATCCCCACTTTGCTGACGATGCGGGGGGGCATTTTTCCCACTGAAAAAAATACGCGGCACGTTTTAGACATGGGCTGATATTTTCCTTAACCGATGGTCCCTGAACGTGTCGCGATTATTTTCAGCAAGAAGAAATGTTACGCACGATAATTAAATCCAGGTGTACAATGACTACACCCTTAAACTTTCATTACTAAAGAGTAGGTTTTATAGTAGGTTAAATAGTCACGAAATGTGATCACATCTGAATATCGTGTACAAAAACTGTGGCCATATTTATTTTACAGACAAGAGGAGTCAGTTATTGGTAAAGGAAGAAAGTAAAGTCTTGAGCCTCGACTTGAACAAGGGGGAAAAGCAGTTCCAGACCATGTGGCCAGCAGAGGAGAATGAGCAACCTCCCACTGCGAGGGAGCAGTGGGAGGTTGACTGGGGGCTTTAATATCTTCAAGTGTACCTTGGATCACGGAAGGTTCCGTACATTGTGAACCAGTCATAGCAGCGTTCTGGAGGCAGGCAAATAAGGCGACAGACCCTTTCAAAACACCAACGCACGGCCGCTGAGAGCGCTGCTCTAGCAAAGCTCGCATCCCTAGAGGACAAAGCAGTGCCTGACAAACGTGTGTGTCGACAACCACACGTGTACGAATATGTGTTGAACTTCTAAAATGTCATCAGGTTTTTGTTTTTTTTTAAGCTGGAAAAATGGTAAAAGGATGGCCCCCTTTTGGCACGTAGGCTTTTGCGACCACTATAATTCGTAACGAAGGTTTTTTTTTTGGGTTGGATCGCGCAAGTATCACTGTGTCCTTAAACTCGCCACAATCCGACACAACCAACTGGTAAGGCTCGTCACGTAAACAAAACGTGCCAAAACGTCGTTACTACTTCAGCCCACCGGTGTGTTGGAGAGTCAAGGGCCACCAGGACAACAGCGCTGCCCCCGTTGACGCACTCGAGTGCGAGCGCACTTCCAACTTTCCCAAAAAACGTGAACGTGACTGCGCCGAGCAGCAGCAGCACGCGCGCCGCCCCGGTGGCGTTCCTGGAGTGCACCGTCCGGCTACGGCGCGAGGGTAACGCCGTCGGCGCGGCCCGAGGCAGTTGCTGACCAGGAATCGCCTGTGCTCCTTCCACTGGCTCCCCTGGGCGTTGGTGGTGCAGTGGGCGGCCGTGACGAGCTGAATCAGCTCCCACTCCTTGTCGCTGGGCCCCGGTCGCTCGATGACGTTGCGCCGCTTCTCGTCCTGCTTGCGCCGCTGCCGGTTCTCCTCGATCAGACGCCGCTTGGCCAGGCGCTTGCTGTCGTCCAGCACCACTGCCGCCGCCGGGAGACGCGGCCGCGGGTTAAACATCGCGGAGATGCGGGGCAACGGGGGGACGTCTGCTTACGCGCGCCCCGCGTGCCGATAACACGGACGCAGAAGCGTTGCACTCTTATCGTCCTCGGCTGTCAAGTTGAAACAAGTGGATGAGTGACCCCGCTGTGGACGTAAGCATTAGGGCACGACGTGACGAGCACATTCATCGCGAGCCTTTCGCACCCTCCTGGCACAAATGACCAATTTTATGGCTTTGTGTGTTTGTTTTTTTTATTTGTTTACAATTTACAAAAGCAGCACTGAAAGAATTGCTATGCTGAGACAATTCTCGCTGCCGACACCGAAACAAAAACATTCTGTAGGGCGGTGCTCAGGTGCTGTCTACAGCTATTGGGTTTCACGTTCTTTATCAACATTGGAGCTGCCGTACAGAATCGTAATCTGACAAGGTGGAGCTTAAAACCGTAAGGTTGTGGAGTTTAAGTGGGGGTCGTAATAATATTCAGCCGATTATCGCTGGAGGGATTTTATCTTGTTGTCCTTTCCCGCACCTCCGATTAGCACGGTGCAAAAGAAGTTCAACATACATGGAATGGGCACCACTTTATAATAAAGTAAACAGTGGTCACCTTAAATTTTTATTTAAAGCTTTCGTGACTGCAGTAATTCATATTTTTAGTTCTTTCGGTAAAGTCACGTTGAAGGGAAACAACAAAATAATAAAATATATAAAAACTATAAAAATTCTCACGACGTTTCAACCATAACACAAACGGTCGTCTTCAGGTGTGTTGGTTTGCATAAATGCATGTTGTTTCCCTTCAACGTGACTTTACCGAAAGAACTAAGAATATGAATAGTGGTCACCTTATAAGCCAGAAGAGAGGGAACATATTATTAAACCATAAATATCAAATACAGGCGGTCTGCAATTTACGGCAGTCCGATTTACGGCGATCCGCATTTCCGACATTTATATAACGCCACCATTAATTGATCAACGATGCAGAAACTTGATTTACGATGCATCTTCCGATACGACTCCGAACACGTTTGAACAGTCGGTCTGGTTTCCGATGTGACTTGGCATGGAGCTCTTTTGTTATTCTAAAGTGTTTTTTTGTTTTGTTTCTTAACTACTAAACCTATTCGCAAGTGAAGGGCTCACAAGTGACGTCATCACATCTATCCCTCTATTTAAGAAACGAAACAGGAGGATTTATCTACAAATCTGGCTGTCCCCCTGATGATGCTAGTTGTAATTAATGGCGAAACGTTGTACTCAGATTGTAAATGTTGTGGATTTGCTCTCCAAACACACCGGTGTGCTGTACTCGTAACAAATTGGCACGCTCTGTTTACGTGACAAACCTTACTAATTGGCTGTGTCGGGTGGTGGCGGGTTTAACGACACATTTATATATTTACGCGACCTAACCCCCCCCAAAAAAAAACGATAGCATCTATTAAACCCTGTTAAACATGGCTTATGAAAGGAAAAACACACCGGTAAGTGACGTTTTAACTGTCCATGGGAAAAATAGGGTCCGATTTACGGCCACTCCATGTGCGACTTTGTTTCCAGGAATGCACTGTGTCATCCTCGCAGCGGCTTTTGGCGAGCCATCTAACAAAGACGACCACTGCATCGCACGCTTTCACATGCACTTCTGCGGCCATCTGGAAAGCACATCCTTCCGATATTAGGAAACCATTTTGAAATATAATCTGAAAACTTTGCAACTGCTTTTTGCGTTCAGTTTTGCCGTCCGTCCTTCCCCCGCACCTCCGATTAGCACGGTTGGCTACGTACGGTGCGAAAGAGGTTTCAACATACGTACATGCGTGCGTACGTTGTATGACAACGAGTGCATGTCGGCGGACGCGTGGATGTAACGTACGGTCAGAGGCCATGCCCACAGCGATGCACTTCTGGTAGCGGCACTCTTGGCACTGGTTCCGCGTGATCCGGTCGATGATGCAGCTGCCCTCGTACTTGCATGCATACGATGGGTGCAGGTTCTTCTGGATGGTGCGCCTGAAGAATCCCTGCAATAAAAGCGCACGGCCTGGGTTCTTGGAAAATGTTTTGCACTCCCTATGCAAAGTTGCCGCAGCATTCGTCCACGGTACCCCACGCGGGTACCGCTTACGCGACCTTGATGAAGTACAGCAGTGACGGGTTTTGGCAAAACCATCGATTGTGCTAGCCAACTCATGGGTTTTTAGCAATGAAACCCAAACGACGACAACAATAAGGGTATTTGCTTCCCATATTGTTCAGGCGCAAACCCCTCTGGTCATTTTTCATGGAAAGGCTTTGTCGTATGTGTGCATCATCATGATGTTTTTTTGGTCACATTCACTTCGATGTATTTTGGTACGCAAATCCGTAAAGCACTTCCATCTCCAGATCACCTCCTATTGGCACCATCACTTCAGCCTAATTAACTAATGCCGCAAAAATGGCCGCAGTGATTGCACAGCAGAAATTAAGGCATTAAGTGAATTGGGGCAAAAGATGTGGGTAACCTTGTAAAGGTCTTGCCTTTAATCAAGGTCAAGAGGTCACCTTGGCCAATGCTGTCCATGGCTCCACACCTCACTCTCACCTGTTTCCTTCAGCCAGGTACTGCAGTTGTTAAATAGACAGCTGACCTCCGATTAGCACGGTTGGCCACGTACGGTGCTCAAAGAAGTTCAACATGCATACAAAGTTTACTCTTATAGTATCCCACAATCTGGCTTTTGGTGTTCCCTTCGGTGGCAAGCCCGCAATTACAGTCTTCACAACCTGCTGCTCGAGTGTGAAGTCAAGTCCCATCTATCACGACTTCCTTCTCCTGATCACATCCATAGCATATTGTAGATTAGCACGGTTGGCTACGTACGGTGCGAAATAAGTTCAACATACATATTCCTTGCCACGTGATATATTATGAACTTCCAAGTTGACCGATAATATGAGCATCCTCTGCATGCACATATATTCAAAGGCCAACGTTAATTTTTGTTCTTTTGTTCAAGCCCAACATAGACCAAACAAGGAAAATTGCCCTTAATGTATAAAATTATTATGCCGCCCATAACAACTGTTCGTGTTGGTTTCAATTTTTCTGCGATGAAACATTTCAACAGACTGCACTTCTCAAGCACGAATGCCAGTCATGTGACCAAACCACTGATGAGTATCGGGGGGGGGGGGGGGGGGGGGGGGGGGCGGCGGGGCAGCAATTCCAACCTCGCCCCACCACCACCCGGCAATTCAATTCAACAATCAATCCTCTTTTAATGTTGCGGTCATCGTAGCGGACTCTGGTGGCTGGGGAGTGCGGGGCGGCAACATACAAAAGAGATAGCCGCAGATTGTTACACACGCAACTCGATCCACGTATCGTGCGCTTTATAACCATCGATGGATTCATCGACGCGTCGTTAGTCACACTGCTGATGTCGGGCGTCAGCCAGCGGAGACCACATTTTTGGGGGACCGCAAATTCTCGAACGGTAAACACTGAACCAAACAGGTCGGGTGTGGAGGAGAGGCTGCGAAATGGATTGTGTGGCTTTCATGAACAGTAATGAAGTAACGTCATGTTCAGTTTGGCATTGCTCATAACACCAGATCGCTATTTTTTTTTGCGGTGGTCTCATTTCCCACGAAAATGCGGCTTTACCAAGATCTCTGTAAAGTAAAGTTCGCGTGAAACGATGAACGTACTTCCCAGGACTGTGCGCGCTTCAGCGGTGCTGCTTCTCAAAGAGAGCGCACGCGGCATGCTTAACATCTCGTAAAACACAGGGCAAGAGATACAACTGGGGGCGGGGGGGGCGGTCCCTCGAATCACCATGATTCCTAACAACCATTTACCTCTCCTCTCATTGATTTGATGATTTGAACATATTAGCGGTATACCGGTGTGCGGTATTTCCCCGCCATCTGCAACCCCGGTCGGAAAGACTTACGGGGTGCGTTTAACTTTTATGAGAACCGGTGTGTTGTGCTGCACTGTTGTACCGTCAATGCGTACAATGATCCAGGGTCAGGGTTCAATCCAAGAATCCCTCTTGTTTACATATCATCGTTACAGTATTTTTGTATAGCTTTTCTCTTTCTCTCTCTTGCTTGTTTAGTTTTCGTTGCTTTGTAATCCTGAATTCAACCTAAGCATATTCTGCACTCCGATTTGCATAAATGGTAAAAAAAAAACGATTCTCACATCTAAATATTCGACGGGTGCATCTTGACCATGAGAATTAATTTCAATTGATTAATCGACGAATCGTTACACGTATATTAGTTACTGCGCGGTAATTAAGTGCATTGCAGTTTCTGGCATAAACTCTTTATTGGGGGCACGTTTCCATGATAGCGCATGAACACGATTTACACTAACTGCACAGCTATTATGGGACACACTGAATACAAGCTGCTCCTGCACACGCATCTGTGCACGTGACAGTTAATTTTATCTGTGTCTGGCATGAGCCTTCCCGAGTATCACTTGGCCTATAATAAGAACATGGTGCAGTGTGAAAGTACATCACACTAAAGAAGACAAAGGTGGACTCGGCACAGCGCTGGCTTTGTCACCCTGCCACGCCATGAACTTTCCCCTGATGGACTCCACCTCCGCTTTCTCAAAAGAGGACTTATATTTTAACTTATGACACTGTTTTAACCGAGTCGATCAGAAGATCTGACGGAGAGCGGCATATATCAATGAGATGTATAGGTCAAAGTAAACTCCCAAAAAGGAAAAACCTTGGTCTTCGAGTGTTTTGCAAGACGAGCGAAAAATTTAAATAAATATTAATTTGATAAGCGAGCGAGGGTCTTGCAATACGAGTGGTACGTCTACGCTTTGTCTCGCCGAGCGTCACGTGATCACAACTGATATACGAGTGCTTTGATATACGAGTGCTTTGGATTACCACAAACACGTTTCCGGAACAAATCATGCTCGCAATCCAAAGTTTTACTCTATATATGTTTTATCCCAACCAACAAAGTAGAACAGATACAGCAGGTGATATTTACCCCAAGTGAGGACATGAGTTGGGGCACTAAGGTTTCCTAAATGTCAAGTTCAGAGGGTAGGAGGGAGATAAACCGTTTAAGGGTGCTGCGGTGTAGAAATGTTAACTCGCCCGTCTGGAATGCAGGAGCTTGTGGGTTCGATCCCGACCCTGACAACGCCTGCTGCTCTATATTTGGAGTTTGCGCGTCTCTCTCTCTCTCTCCCCGTGGCCACGTGGATTTTTCTCCGGGTCCTCCGGTTTTTCCCCTCCACATTTAGAATCAACGTGCACCTAAAAGTATTCGGCCGCTACGCATTTCCGCATGAGCTATCATTTGTGGCCAGGTCGCTTCTGAACAGGCGCGCTGTCTCTACATAGCTCGAGTGGGCCTTTCCTGGTAAAATAAAACGTTTAAAGTTCATCCAATAGGTGGCGCCCTCGAGCAAGCATGGCATCTGCACACGCACGGCGTTTCCCCCCCGATTCGTTTAAGGTTGGAGAACCCCAACATCCCCCCCCAAACTCCCCGCGTTATTGGAACCCGAACCGTTTTCGCGCCCCAACAATACAGCTAAAACCTTTAATGCTCGTGGGGGGGGGGGGGGGTTTTGTTGATTTGTTTTTGCTCTTCGCCGTTTCGCGTACTCGCGGCAAACTTATTGCAGTGCTATTTTGAAATTTGCGGGGTTGTATTTTTAAACGGCTCGCTGCTGACTACCCGGCAAGAAAGTGGGCCGAGGTGTTCGGAGCGACTTTTCCCGGGCGCACCGTTTACAGACGAGTGCTTTTTCCCTCTGTGCATTCGTGTTCGTTGAACTTATTGCGCGCCGTACGTAGCCAACCGTGGAATTACGTATACTCTATGACGTGAATTTATTCATATTTGCACGTTCAAAATGTGCTTACGTTCATCACTCTCAAATCTCAGCTGAATAACACAATGCTACATTACAATATATGTATTCATTAATACATACACACCGTTGACACGTTCATGTTTAAACGCAATGTATGTTTATGCCCCCCCCCCCCGGATACTCTTTTTCCTCAAGCTTTGAGTATTAATATTCGCGGATTTAATATTCGCGCAAGTTCTCCAGGAAAGTATTCCCAAAAATATATGAAGGGTTTGCTCTACATACATGTCTGTATTACATCAATAATTTCATGCATAGCCCATATATACAAAAAGACAATGCTCCCACCCCCACCCCCCTTATAGCCTTATCAGACTGTTGGGGCAAGTGCTGTTAGCGAGCATCTATAAAGGCCGCATCGTACACGAAGGGATGGGTGTCCAGCACCATGCCAGGCCGCATTTGTCTCCCCTGCGGCGATGTTTACTACACACCGCACCGGGTACCCATTTCAGGCAGAGTCGACCTAGGGGAGGCCCATAACTGATTCAGATAATCGTCACCGGAGTTGGCCGTGAGCAGGAACCAAACTCGGGCTAGTAGTGCAGCACACCAACCGTTGCACTACCACTCCCCACCAGGTGGCGGAGCCACAGGGGGGGCTGAGGGGGGCTCAGCCCCCCCCTGAAATTCTGGGAAAGTCGGTAATCGGGATAACCGGATATCCGGCTGCTGCAAAATTCTGCAGGCTGCCACCTCGTGTGCTGCCCTGCAGGCTGCCACCTTGTGTGCTGCCCTGCAGGCTGCCACCTTGTGTGCTGCCCTGCAGGCTGCCACCTTGTGCTGCCCTGCAGGCTGCTTGAGCGGCAGCCTTTCGAACTTATCGAACTTATTAGCCACATCAGCGGCTCCGACCTATTAATAAACTCCGCGTTCAAATCCAATTAAATTTGTTTTATACATTTGTGGCACCCATTGGAAAACATACACTGGATATCTCAGAATATTGAAGTCAGCCCCCCCAAAGTCAAAATCCTGGCTCCGCCCCTGCTCCCCACATATACACAGGCACACACGTACACACTTGCAGACATGCAAACACACACATACAAATGTACATGCACATATTAATTTTTTTTATTTTAAGCAAGTTGTTATTTACGAACGTTTAGTATGTTTTATCATGGTGCACTCGTAAGTCTGAACACTTGTTATCGTGCCCTCTTCATACTTCCAGTCCATCACGAATACGCCGAGCTTATCACACACTCGGTAAGCTCTTTGGAATAACAACGCCGTTTTAAAAGTCTGTTGCAAAACTGGCACGGACTCAATGACGGGTCCCAAACGTCTGCCACCGGGTTACCAGTTCCAGATCCACGGGTTGGAGACCCCAATAAGGCTGCCCTGACCGTATCACCGCACAAGGTGTGGTTTGGCTAACCCCTCCGATTGGCACAGTTGGCTACGTACGGCGCGAAAGAAATACAACATACGTAGGTACGCACATACACAACAACCCGGTCACGCAGATCTCTCCCGTTCGGCTGTGTGGGCACGCGACAAACCTTGCATCCTTCGCAGGTGATGCACCGGTAGTGGTAGCCAGTTGCCTTGTCCCCGCATACCACACAGGGCTCATTCTTGTCCAGGTAGCTGGGCATATAGGCACCTGCAAGCGAGAGGTAATTTGATTTCCGATGTACCGATATTGCATTGTTGCAAGTCATCTTCAAAGCTTAACACGGCAACGTTCCAAATGTCAGCGCCTCCATCCTGTGTGGGACAGTTATGTTATCTCCATTGGCAGCCCTCGATCAGTGATGGAAATTCCACAATCCAACTGCTAAGGTTAGTCTCTCCATGGCTACAATGACTTTTAATCAAATGTTTAAAATGTCTACAGGGTATATAGTATTAGACAAACATGTTTATAGATGTTCTTGTGAAATGTAACATTACATTCAGTTTATTTTATTTCTTACACGGATTATCCAATTTGTATGTATGTATGTTGAACGTCTTTCGCATCGTATGCAGCCAACCGTGCTAAATCGGAGGTGCGGGTTAAGGACAACAAACTAAACACGAAAAGCAGTTCTAAAGAATTCAGTTTTTTTTATTTAGATGTAAAAAATGCCTGGACTCCTGTGGTTTCCGTGTGGCCCGGCTATTTTACACAGGAGATCTTTGGTGTGTGTGAACACAATAACAAAAGACAAAAGACGAAAACATTAATATTGCAGAGAGTGAGTAACATGGTCCTCAAGGAATATTGTGCAACTAACAAACGAGGAGTTTAACAGCCGTAAACAAAACACATGCAAATCGATAACAAAAAATTGTGCCAAGGTCACAGCAAGAGGTACCAGAAAGGTTAGGTACAGATGCGGCAACGTACACTTTCGTAAACAATTGTGAATCGTGGAGGTCAAACCAGTACAAGTTACGGCAGATGGGCCAAATATGCACAGACGGTTTGTAAATATTTTTTTAACGAAACTAAATTTAACAATGTTAGTCATGTCACACCACTGAGTGAAATAGTTCCTAATTAACTTGCTAAGTATGTCACCTTTTACAGTCAAGTAGTGTAATGAGGTGGAGGTCATAGGGTGAAAGTCATGGAAGTGGAGGTCATGGGGGGGTGTGTAGGTCACAAGGTGGGGTCATAGGGGTTAAGGTCATAGGGTGAAGGTCACGGCATGGAGGTCATGGGGTAGAGGTCACAGGGATTGAGGTCATGGGAGGGGATTTAGGGGAGAAACCTATATTCAGGATCGAGCAAGTACAGTGCCAATGTGCTTTTATCTCTGTGTACAACTCTCTCTTAAGTACTATATCTTTCTTTTCCCTCATATATCATATAAATACTGCTCTCCTATAACTTCTTCACACAGTGCAACTCTTTTTCTCAAATATAGCGATTACGTTCATCGTGTACGGAATGCCATCATCATCTTCATCACAAACACGTTGACGACGATGTGAGTGGTAGACCAAGTTGATCATTGAAATCGAGCCAGCATCACTTGTAAAAGAGTACCATTCTGGGTGGCAGGTGAGGAGGAATTTGTGTACATGTGCTTTGAGTGCGGGAACAGTCCATTGAAATGTGCATGGGATGGGTGACAAAGATATTTACGGAGCCGTGAAGTAAACAGAATTCACTTTTGTTGCGGCTTTTTTGGCCAGATTCCTACGTCGAGGGGATATATTTTGTCTCAATTGCAGCCATTCCGTTGCCACAATTCACGCAAGCCGTCATCACACTGAGCTTTATCCTTTGATACATTTCACTTGTCTTTACACCCTCAAGGCTGGAAACATAAAAACGTCAATTACGGTGTTTCATAACGTTTCCTCTCACACGCCAAATGTTCAACAATGAAATTGACGAAAATGTCGTAAAATGTAGGGCCCCATCCGAAAAGGTGTCCCGAGTTCATTTCTTGTATCACTACGATGCAATTTTGACCACGATCCCACGAATCATAGGTTACAGAATTTGTATAGGTTGCAGGATTAGTATACCTTTGTATGGGTTAGTATACTTTTGTATAGGTTACAGAATAAGTATAGCTTTGTATAGGTTACAGAATAAGTATAGCTTTGTATAGGTTGCAGAATTAGTATGCCTTTGAGTAAGTTAGACGTAGTAAACCTTTGTATAGGTGCCAGTATTCATAAGAGTTTTTACTCTATGCAATACCCTCACTTATGTGTTCTGCTCTAAAATCACCGTGCCTTTCAGACAGTGGCCTCAATACGATTAGCTCTGAAATCTTATTTTCATGTAACAGCCCTAAGGCTGTGACTTTCCCACATTGAGGCACGACTGTGGAGATGATTCTGTCATCTATGTAATAGCTCTAATGCACTCAAAGTCATGTCATTTAATTGCTCAGCAATTGTACTCAATTCCTTGTCATATGTTTGCGTGGATTCCGTTGTGATATCGAATTACCTGAATTTTTACATTTTTCCTCTGAGACAAATTCAGACTGGGAAAAACGCTCACGAGCAATGCAATAAAGTTTGTATTTTAAACAAGTGTACAGTCTATTAGCATGTATATTGAAAGTATGCTTGAATTCCAACTCTTACTTCACAAAGTGTTAACATGTACTTGTTATAGCATGTAAATGTAAAATTTTATTATTCTGACATGATTGTTTGCTTGTGTTGCCATTGTGCCTCGGATTTACACCATGTTTTTTCACAGTAATTTGTACACTAAAATAGCTGTGCGTGACAATAAAATAGCCATCTCTCTGTTCAGGGCTTGGTGTTGCAATGCCACATTCCCCCCAAAAAATAGATAAACTCAATAATCCCCAAATGAGATGCAGATAAACGGAGTTAACCCATATTCTTGGTTCTTTCGGTAAAGTCACGTAGAAGGGAAACAATAAAATAATAAAAATATAAAACAATAAAATTCTCACGACGTTTCGACTGCAAAACAAGCAATCATCATCAGGTGTGAAAACCACAGCAAGAAAATTTGAAAAATGTGGCGTTTTTTTATTGTTAGCACCACGGATAGCGATTTGGCAGTTATTCAGATGGACGAGTCCATCTATGTTCAGAAAAGAGGAGGGGGGAGACAAAAATAATGGATGCGGTCTGAAAGCCACCGTAAGCGTGAACAATCAATTAAGACCCGAAATGGTTTATCAAATCCTTCCAATGATTGCTAAGCCAGAATCCATCTTCTCGGTTGAAATTGTCTCTGCGTTTGTATATGTGGATAGCCTCATGAACGAATCTCTCATGATAGCCAGATGGCTTGCAGAGAACATCTGTCTGTACACTAGGAGTTTACCCATGTTTATTAGCCTAACACAGTGATTAGCGCGGTTAGGCTATGTACTATGCAAAAAAGTTCAGCATACATACATATATAGAAAAACACAAAGTGATCGTGAAACGCAATGGTGTTATGCCTTTTCATGCACAGCACGATGTAATACATCAAGGTTGTCACACTTTAAACAAAATGCATTATACATGACTGTAATATATCTCAATGGGGTCTCAGATTGTAAAAGGACATATAGCAAGAAATAAATCACAACGATCCCTGATACAGTTAAATAAATTCCATTAACACTATAATGAATCCCTGTGACCTCAGATGGTTAAACAAAAGGCAGGGGTGATATTAAAGCTTATTAATAAATAATGCAATGAAATGGGGGGGGGGGGTGTCATGATTATATTTTGAAGAAAAAAAAAACCTCACCAGATGTATCACACGGACACCCCAGTGCAATAGAAAAACTCGCAGGGCGCACACAATTTGGGGACTGACCCTCTTTCAGACGAGGCGATGGCACGCGGAGTGAGGCACCGACTCAACAGCAGTGTTAATGTTGTTGATGACGCAATTTTTCTCAACAAAAGTGTTTTTACTGCACTCGGCGAAAACCACGAGCGGGTCGGAAACAATCGAGCGGGACGATGGACGGCAACAGGGCACACGAAGGAGGGGTGCCAAAGCGCGACAGTGACGAGGAGAGCTCGGCAAGTCCGATTTGAAGACAGCGACTAAGATGAACTCTGCGATGATCCCCGCACCTCCAATTAGCACGGTTGGCTACGTACGGTGCGAAAGAGGTTCACCGTAAATACATGACATTACAGACTGCTGCAGTGCTACAAGGAAGCCCAAGTATTACAAGTGGATATATATGCATAGATAAAGATTTATTGAGCTCACCGATTGGCTCCCCTGATATTTGGGGGGCGGTGGCGGGGGGGGGGAGAAATTGGGCAACCGTCCCAAAAACGAGATGTTAACTACCTCGCCTGGTATACAGGAGGTTGTGGGTTCGATCTCAACCCGAATGCCTGTTGTATATTTGGAGTTTGGCGTTCCCCTCGTGGTCGTGTGGATCTTTTTTCTGAGCCCTCCGGTGTCTCCCCTCCACATTTCGAAATGCGCATTTGAGAGTATTCGGCTGCTCGAAATGTCCACACGGATGAGCCACTTCGTTGAGCTATCATTTGTGGCCAGGCGAAATAAACAAATAGTTCATGGTAAACAGCAGTTAGTGAAATGACATTCAGTGACCAACACTAAAATTCGACAGGTTGCAATATAGACGAGGTCGGGGGTCGGCAAGCTGCGGCTCCGGCCGGAGCCCACGTGCGGCTCTTTAAGGACGGCTTTGTGACGTTGTTCGCCGCGTGCATTGCAGTGCTTGGAATACTGATTTTTATTTTATTTTTATTATGTTTTATTTTTATTATTTTATTTCCATTCTACGTGACTTCACCGAAAGAACCAAGAAGACTGATTTTTTTCGTTTGTTGCTGAAATAGAAGATGGCTCTTCTTGCTATTTTGGTTACCGACCCCCCCCCTCCCCTAAATTAACGCTGCATTACAGTTGAAGATCACACCTTAACATCGCGAGGCCCTGAGCAAACTTGGACACTGTAATTTGTCAAATGGCCTGTTCTGACTTGATACGTGAACGGTTTTTCACGAGGGAACATCGAATATAAAAAAATATATGGACGCAAAACGTATCAACTGCTCCGCAGAAGGGTGGTTGCCCAAAATGTCTGCATAGCTAAGAGACATACACAATGTAACTGGCACTGGCCAAACATCCAAATGCTGAAAAAAAATACCCTCAAACTTATCAATTTGGACTGCGCA